CAGGACTATCTCTACGTTCTCATCTGTAAATACACGGTTTAATTCAATTTCTTCGTATTTATTCGGTAGTTCTACTCTTTCCGCAAACCGAAAACAACTTAACGTTATTTTTGATAGGTTATGTATTGAATGGATTATAGGCGTAACTTCTATTTTCATTCTCTTATTAAAACACTGTTCAATCGCTATAAACGGTTTCAGATTAAACATGCCAGTTGACTGTAATATTTTCAAATTCTTGTTCTCTTCACTAAATATAACACATGATCCTGCAGACACGTTTACATATTCAAATATTACAGTATATATGGTTGCATCGATTGTTACTGTACTATTAATGTCGGCACTTCGTAATACAAGCCATCCCTTTTCATCTTTTTTTTCATTCTGTATTTAAAGCATGGGTTTCTCGGCGTTATACCTGGCCTCAGATCACATTCCATAATACCTGGTAACATAACCTTTACTATGGTGTAAATTATGCTAACATGCTCACATTTTTCGTTAATCATCAGTGTCACGTCTTTATGAGCATTACAGCTAAAAATTTCAATGCTTTCTATATGATCAGGAAACACTATATTTTCACGGATCTCCAATGATAGAAATTCAAATTTCACAACATTTTTAACAATGTTATTAAATGCATCATCCAGTATGTTTTCTGTGATAAAAATAGCAACTTTAACATGTTCTGGTATTGATTGTATAAGATCATCTGAACAATATTTGGATATTACAGTTACTGGAGCTTTTATGTTATTAAGACATGATAAATCAACATTAGTGCGGATACCATGAAATTTCAAAGTTAAGCTATCCACATTTGTTCCTGTGAGAAATTTGCTGGTTGTAACTGCCTCTAGAGTACGCATGAGTGTCTCATTTTTGTGATCAAAACTTGATTTCAAGTCGTATATACTTACAGTATATGATGAATCACTATTAATATCATTAAATTCACCATCTAAAATTTCCTTGTTATTTAATAACATCTTGTAGTATATATTTAGCTTATCAAACAAGAATGCTAATGTAAACTTGTGTGAATCAATGGTCCGATAATAGTAACCACGAACTTTCGATTTCCCATATATTTCTGCTCGATTTCCATTTCCATCCTTTAGCATAAATACAACATATGACTTGATCGATTTTCTAAGTTGTGTCGCAATGTCACTTGATCCGAATATATATTTGGAGAGAAGCATAGTTGACTTGTTATACTGGCCGTTATTAGGATCGTGATTGTAGTTTTTCATTTCCTGGAGCAGCTCGGGATTATTCAACAAATGCATGCACACTGCACACGCAATCGCTCCTCTCCTATATTCATCAAAGAATGATAAACTCTCCACGAGTGCACAAATTTCATCTGTATCAAAGGTAGGTACATCTTCGTTATAACCACTCTTTTGCGACAATTTCATAATTTTTTGATACGATAAAATGGATATTATTACATTAATAACTTCAAACTCGATGTCTGGGTTTTCTTTAATCACATCATGGTATGTCCCATAGCTGATCCTTTTGATACCAGCAATGTGACTATAATGGTACTTATCATCGTAGTCAAAACGTTTATTGATCATATCTCTACCAAGGAAACGTGTGCTTTTGATCTCATGCGGTAATGATTGCATCGTTTTCTTTTCTTCATGTATTCTCAACAAGCCAGACATTCCTATATCTGCCGGGTTTTCAACGATCAAAAAATCTTTATCTTGTTCATTTTTGAAGACCAGGATGTATTTGAGACTTGCCTCAACATAGCCGTACAAATTAAACAACATGGATTGGAATCTGTCTCGTCCTTTTATGCTTTGAACATTAGTCTTATTAAGAAAAGAATTAATTAATTCAAATATTAAATTGAATTAAACTAAATTTACTTATTGCTCATTAGTTTTAATGATAACCTCATATCTTGATTAATCAAATGGGCGAATAACAAGTTTTTGTGCTGTACTGAATTGTAGAAGCAGTATGAGCGTGGATTGGCTCTATTTGATTGCACAACGAACAAATGTAATACAGTAATTGATTACAATAGAATATTTGCAGTTGGCGCTCTGACTCTTTTATCAGATGAAGGTTGGTCTATGCCATTGTGTTTGTAATGGAATGGTGATTGAATGAAACGGATTGTAGGACCGTTTTCTCATTATTAATTTTAAACACGGTTAATTATCACAAATATTGAAAAAGAGAAAATGTAAGCAAATTAGCTGATTTGTTGGAATAAATTGTTCAACCATTTCAAAATAAACATATTTTATTTAACATAACATGTGAAATTCTTCATCAGATATTGTCATTCAATTCATTTTTGTATAAACTGACTCAATTACTTTTCGAACAATATACAAGGTGACGTGGTTCTCGATCAAAATTAATTTTGTTGCCATCACCAAAAAAGCAAAACGATTATTTCTGACTAAAAACAAGTTTCATTGAATAGATAACCAAATTTTATATTCTATTT